CTTGTCCTAAGTGTCCTGTGATCCTGTCCTACACACACCCCACTGTCCCTGGGGCACAGGGACCCAAACATCAAGAAACCACCCACAAGAATGGGGGTGGCCACAGGGAGGACGTCCCCAAGCTGGTGGGTCAGCAACCGGCTTGTGTCTGCAGGGAGGGTGGGGAGAGGGTCTCCAGCCCTGTCTGTGTGATGCCTCACTCTTCAGCATTCTGTCATGTTGAAGTGTCCTTCTCAGGGAGGGGAGGCGGGCTCAGTAAGCCACTGCAGACCTTCTCAGCAGTTAAAGGGGTGCTGATGTCTAGGTCCAGCCTGCTGACAGCCTTTCCTGAAGCCCTGGCTCCGTCCAGGGCTTGCACCTTCACTCACCCTTAAGGATATTGTGCTTGAATTAAAACGTGAGCATGGATGGGCATTCCTTGCTGGGACAGCCTCAGCCACATCCCTCCAGCCTGCTAGGCCCTGGACAGGGCACCCCTGCTTTTCCCTGCCCAATTCAGCTGGAGCTGGCCTCCTTTAGGTCAGCAAACCCCTTCAAAAAGAAATTCCCTTTGCTTTGACGGTGAGTGAGTTACCTGCCCCCTGCCCCAACCACACCTTTCCTATGAGGAAGGGTGTGGCTTTCCCAAGTTCCAGAGACCGGCCTCCAATGGGTGGGCACCAATGGACCTTTGACCCCAGGCTCTGCCTTCTCATTTGGCACACGTGAGGCCTGGAGGGTCGCATGGAGACCATCATCTCCTGAGAGCCCAATGCCAGGAAGAAAATGCTTAGTCCCTTGGAGAGCAGAGATATGATGAGAAACAAAGATCTTGACTTTAGCCTGGCCAGCATGGCTCAGTGGTTGAGTGTCAACCTATGAACCAGGAGGTCCCAGTTCGATTCCCAGACAAAGCACATGCCTGGGTTGTGGGCTCAATCCCCAGTGTGGGGCATGCAGGAGGCAGCCGATCAATGATTCCTCTCATCATTGATGTTTCTATCTCTCTCCCTCTCCCTTCCTCTCTGAAATCAATAAAAATATATTTTTTAAAAAAGGTCTTGATTTTAAAAAACATTCTCATTTCAATAAAATTTCACCTAAAGTTAATAGAGGAAAATAAACCCGTTGTTGAAGAGTGAAGCTTTCAAATGTCTTTACAGGCATAAATTTTCTGTTGTTAAAATGCAAAGGCAGTCCTGCAGTTGGCCAAATAACACACTGAATTCACAGATCAGCAAAATGGTGATTAAATGCTTTTATGCAAGTATTGTACCTGCCATTCCGCCAACATGTGCAGCACATAATCCCATTCTAAGTCACGGTAAGGTTTATCATCAAGTAAACAGGCAAAGGTTCTGCGTTTTGGAGCCAGCCTATCTCCGTGTATGGGTTTGCTTGAAATGGGAATCCTGAGCTATATACGGAAAAGAAATTAGTGCTTTACTGTCAGCGTAGTCATCAACATTTGTCTGTCTCCTCTCCTCTTATTTTTGGATGTTTTGATGGCATTTGAGGTTTTGGTGAATGTGAGGGCAGGCTGAAATGGTTAGCTGTGCTCACACAACATTCGCCCTGACCCTGCGTCCACCTCTTTCTCTTCCTCTGCACACAAAGGCCTAGAACTATTTTAAGAATTTGCCAACACATATTTCTCTCGACTCACCACTTCTGTACTCACGTACACACGCCTTCAGAAGTCCTTGTCCACAAACCCTGGTCCTCAACACACTCAGCCCTTGAACACACATGTGGCCTCCCATACAACTAGGCCCTCACCCACACACCTGGCCTCAAACATACACACTGACCCTCCCACACACCCACACACTGCCCCCCCACCACCACCACACACACACAGGTTCTCACACAAACACGAGGGGAGAAAATGCCAAACAGAGTAAATGTTCCAGATGATTGAATTGGACCCTGTAAGATGCCAAGACATTGTTCTCATCTTTAAGCATTTATTTTGGAATCCTTTCTAAAATATACTGTATATTTTCCTGTTTTCTGAAGCTGCCTTAAATATATTCCAGGAAGTTTGGGCCAGGCCCTCTTATGTCAGTTAGGGCATGTTAGCATGTGAGGCTGGAGAAGACCACAGTGAGGTTTCACCTCACACCTGTCAGAATGGCTGGTGTGAGAAATCAACAAATAGCAAGTTGTGGATGGGACTGTAAGTTGGTGCAGCCACTAGGGAAAACAGTATGTAGATTCCTCAAAAAATTAAAACTAGAGTATGACGTAGCAATTCCACTTCTGGGTATTTATCTGAAGAAACTCAAAACACTAATTTGGAACGATCTATGTAGCCCTATATTCACTGCAGCATATTTACAATAGTCAAGATATGGAAGCAAGCTAATTAGTGGACAATTGGCTAAAGAAGATGTGGTACAATACGAAATGGAATATTACTCGGCCATAAAAAAAGAATGAAATCTTGCCATTTGTGACAGCATAGATGAACCTAGAGGGTATTATGCTAAGTGAAATAAGTCAGACAAATACTATATGATCCGACTTACATGTGGAATCTAGAAAACAAAATAAACAATAAACAAACAAACTCATAGATGTAGAGAACATTTTGATGGTTGTGAGATAGGAGGGGGATTAGGAGGATAAGTGAAAAAAAGTGAAAGGATTAAGAAACACAATTAGCAGTTATAAAGGTCACTGGTTGCCCTGACCGGTTTGGCTCAGTGGATAGAGCGTCGGCCTGTGGACTGAAGGGTCCCAGGTTCGATTCCGGTCAAGGGCATGTACCTTGGTTGCGGGCACATCCCCAGTAGGAGGTGTGCAGAAGGCAGCTGATCAATGTTTCTCTCTCATCGATGTTTCTGACTCTCTATCCCTCTCCCTTCCTCTCTGTAAAAAATCAATAAAATATATCTTTAAAAATAAAAATAAAAATAAAAATAAAAATAAAAAAGTCACTGGAATGTACAGCACAGCGTAGGGAATGTGGTGAATAATAGTGCAATAACTATGTATGCTGTGAGATGGGTACTAGACTTATCGGGTGATCATTTCATAACTAATATAAGTGTCTAACCACTATTATACACCTAAAACTAATATAATACTGCATGTCAGCTGTAATTGAAATTTCTTACTTTTTAAAAAAGAAGCTGAAGTTGTTTCGCTTTGGCTTACCCAAGGCTTCCTCAATATACTTGACCTGGGAACTGGCCTCTTGGCCAGCAGACAACTTCCCTTGGGCAGCTCTTGCCAGAACCAGGCTCTTAGTGAGGACAGCTGCACAGGGAGTTGGATCCAGGGGAGGGGCATCCCCCGCCTGGGCCATGTGTGGGGGCCGAACGCAGTCCCAATGGGAACTGAAGGACAGAGAAGCAGCCAGGGAGGCTGGGCTGCCCTGTGAGTGCCCTGGGCTGTCTCTAGGATCTCAGCAAACATCGATTCCTCTCCTTCAATGTTGGACAGTTTTGAGAAGATAAACTAGTTGAGGTGGAGGCCAGGAGACCCACCATCGGGAGGCTGCTGGACATGAGAGGTCAGGACCTGCCCAGTGGGTCTGGAGAGGAATGGGCCTGGATTTGGGCATCTGAGCAGCGGAAGGACAGCTCTCTCCCTGGGAGAGTCCAAAGTTTGCATTTGAGTTCCTCCAACATAGGTCATTAGAGACATGTCCCCTAGGATTTCATTCTACTTCCTTCCCAGCAGTCTCTCATGTTACAGTTAGCATTTGCTTCAAATATCTATAAGGAGCTGCACTGCTTCTGGAGGGTGGTTCCTGCCACTTACTCTCATGGACTCGATGCTTGCTTCTGAATCAGGTGTGATTTGAGTTTTTGGAAATCAGACCACATTAGCCTTTTGTGGACAGAGTCAGTATTATGATAATTCCTATTGAAGAGCCAGCAGAGCCAGGCATGTGGAGGAAATGGAGCAGTCAGGCATGGGAAGCCTTGTGAGGGGTGTGGGAGCTCCAGAGGGCATCACCCCGCGTAACTCAGAGGTGGGAGCTGAGCTGGCTCCGGTGTGCCTCGCGTCATGTGGTTTCTAGAGGCTGACTTGACTGCAGCACTTACCGGCCCAGTCTCTGTTCGGCCTGGTTCCTCGGATAGGACAGGCATCTTCCCCCTGAGCCCACCCACGTCAGGCCCAGAGGATTCAAGGTTTTCTCTTCAATTTCCTTAGGAAATTATTGATATGATTAGCTGGTCAGAGGAATCTCAGATGTAACCGTTATCCCTTTAAAAATCCACTTGGCAATTTTAACCTCTTTGGCTTTTAACTGTTATTTGTAGCCTTGCATTTATTTCCTAAACAAATGAACCTTGTGGCATTTCCTCAGGAAATGTTACATCTAAAAATAGCATTAAACTTTTTTTAAAAAACTAAAAGCATTCCATCTTTACATAAAAGCATGTTGTACCAAAAATGTAAAGGGGAATCAGGAACCAGTGATACTGTTTTCAGAATGACTGAAAGGGCACACTTCTGTGATTTTTGACGAAGGATGCCGTAATGGTTTCTATTTAAAATTTTAAAACATCATCAATACAATTTAAATGTATTTGCTGTGGATGCACTTATTTCTAAGCATAAAATGGTATGTGGACTAACTCTGTTCTCCCCACAGGCCCCTCCATTCCATGTGCAGACCCAGGTGTGCCAGGGAGGGGGGAGCCACGGCAGGGGAAGACCCCCTGGAAATTTCACATGCTCCATGGAAGATCTAAGATGTAGCATTTAATGTGCATATTTCAGAATTTGATTAGATTTGGAACTTATCCCAAATCTAAACCTGATTGTGCCTCGTGTGGTGACGGTGACAACCCTCACTTACAGAATGTTATTTAGGGCCACCCCCAGAGGCAGAGGTCTCCAGTCTACCCAGTGCAGCTGCGGGCACTTCCCTGGTGCTACTGCTGAGTGACAGCGCAAAGGACAAGCAGATGGTCCCCAACAGGGACTCCCTCTGCGCCGAGGACTCACCTATACCTTCCCTATTTCACAAATATGACACAGGATCCTCTCTTTCGTTTCAGGATCTGGAATCCCTCGACACCTACATCCAGAACACACTCTCTGACCTCTACCCACCGTTTGAGGCCACGGCGGCCACGGTGCTCTGGCAGGTGTTCAGCGTGGCTGAGAGGCTCCACGGAGGCGATGGGCTGCGCTGCCTCACTGACTTCCTCATCCCTGCCACGAGGGCCCTGCAGCACCTGCAGCAGGAGGCCTGTGTGAGTACCGCCCTCAAGGAACAGAGCCTGTGTGAGGCACACACACACCCTCAGGGGACAGAGCCTGTGTGAGACCCTCCCCTTAGGGGACAGAGCCTGTGTGAGGGGCCCTCCCCTTAGGGGACAGAGCCTGTATAAGGAACTGCCCTCAGGGTACAGCCTGTGTGAGGACCTGCCCTCAGGGGACAGAGCCTGTGTGAGGACCTGCCCTCAGGGGACAGAGCCCTGTGAGGACTTCCCTGCAGAAGGAATCCTGTGTGAAGACCTCCCCTGCAGGGAACACCTTAACTGGTCTTTACCTGGAGAAGATTCAGGCAAAGACACCTGGTACCTGGAAAATATTTAAGCTGAGGAAGTGGAATTTCAGAACCAGGGAAACATGCCACTGATGGAGGCGAGGGAGAGTATTCGAAATTAAGCCAGAAATTAAACCCAACATAATTCAAGTGAGCATTTGTCGTTTTCTCTCAAAAAAAAAAAAAGCTGTGAGATAATGAAAAAACAAAACTGTATTGTAACCTCAGCCATGTTCTTACAGAGTTTAAACACATAAATGGAGAAATCTTCCCCCTCTCCTCTATTTGATGGTCCATCAGGCACTGGCTCATCTCCTTTCTAGCTTCTGGCTCCTCCTTTTCCTCGTCCCAAATGATGGGTGAAATAAGACTGTGTCCAGGAGCCAGGCTTCTCAGGCCGGCCAGGGAGCGTAGAGCCCCCTTCGTCCGCAGACATCCACTCTGGCTCCCCCCAGTGAGCTTCCACTTGAACACAGGAAGTAAGTCACACTCTGGAGTAATCATCTCAGAGCCAACTTATTGGAGCAGTTCCAGTACATACAAATAAACTCTGTTTAATTAATATCTCATATGTTTAGTTTATTTCTTGGGATATTTTTATCATAGGTTATTTTGGATGCAGTGCTAAAATTAATGACAGCCAAGTTGTGGGTATATTGCAGTGAACTGCTGGAAAGATTATAGCTGAATCTTTAAAAAAAGCATCTATTTATCAGCACCTTTTATTACTCCATTGATATTGAATTACAGCTTAAAAAAAAAAAAAAAAAAAAAAAAACAGAGATAACTAAGATGGCGGTATAGGTAAACACGGGGAAATTGTCGCCTCACACAACAATTGAAAATTACCGCAAAGGACTGAGCAAACATCATCCAGAACAACAGGAAGGCTGGCTGAGTGTAAATTCTACAACTAGAAGGAAAGAAAAGCATGCTGAGAGCCAGAGGCGCTGCGGAGGTGAAGTGCAGAGGTACGGCGGCTCGCGCGTGCGAGGAAAGGGGGTGGCGCCTGAGGACGCGGCTGTCTTTTTGGAATCACAAGCTCCCGACTGCTCTGAACTCCGGTTCCGGGAAGTCTCTGGGGACCCAGGACTCATACGGGGAGAGGCTGGTCTGTCCGGCAGCGGGCGAACTTGAGGGCGGCTTTCCCTCAGAGGTGCTTGCAGCCGTTACCGGGACACTGAGACGCGCGACTCCGGGCGGAGAATCGGCCATAGCTGCTTTCTCCGCCCTTTGATTCCCTGAGACCCCGCCCCACCCAGGCTGCGGCAGAGGCTTTTGCATGTGAATGTACCTAACTGCAGCCGAGCCAGGCAGACCCGGAACTTCCAAGAGAAGGCCCAAGGCCCCGCAGCGGCTTGCATTGCTTCACAGCTGAGCCTCTTCGTGGCTCCTGCTGTGTGGTCTCAGGCAGAGGCTGAATTAGCACCTCCTTAGATCCAGGAGCCACTGTACCCAGTGGTCAGAGGGGGACCATCCAGACTGCAACTCCTCAGATCCATAAGGGACACACTCAGGGAGCAGACTCAGTGAGCACCAAAGCCCCACTGAAGCAAGTCTTGCCCCAGAAGGGTGTCTTCAGCACAGAAGTTCTCCCACTTTAGACACAGCTGATTCTCACAGCCAATTGGCCTGGAGGTCAATTCCTCCCAGTGATTCTACAACAACCAAGGCACCAAGAGTGCACCAAGAGTGTCCACCCCAGGTAACTGGGGAGGCTGAGCTACTGGGCCCTACAGGACACCTGGCGCACAGGGCCACTCTATCAACACAGGGAAGCTGCCAAAATGCGGAGACAAAGAAACAGGTCACAAATGGCAGAAATGGAGGAAAGCAAACGATTGGATATAGAGTTCAAGGCCACGTTTATAAGGTTTTTCAAGAATTTTATGGAAACCGCCGATAAATTTAATGAATCCCTCAATAAGTATAGTGAGACCATGGAGGACATGAAAAAGGACCAACTAGAAATTAAGCATACACTGACTGAAATAAAGAATAATTTACAGAGATCCAGCAGTAGACAAGAGGATCCCAAGAATCAAGTCAAAGATTTGAAATACAAAGAAACAAAAAATACCCAACCGAAAAAGAAAAAAGAAAAGAGATTCCAAAAATATGAAGATAGTGTAAGGAACCTCTGGGACAACTTCAAGCGTACCAACATCAGAATTATAGGGGTACCAGAAGGAGAGAGAGGGCAAGATATTGAAAACCTTTTTGAAGAAATAATGACAGAAAACTTCCCCTACCTGGTGAAAGAAATGGACTTACAAGTCCAGGAAGCGCAGAGAACCCCAAACAAAAGGAATCCAAGGAGGACCACACCAAGACACATCATAATTAAAATGCCAAGAGCAAAAGATAAAGAGAGAATCTTAAAAGCAGCAAGAGAAAGACAGTCAGTTACCTACAAGGGAGTACCCATACGACTGTCAGCTGATTTCTCAACAGAAACCATGCAGGCCAGAAGAGACTGGCAAGAAATATTCAAAGTGATGAATAGCAAGAACCTGCAACCAAGATTACTTTATCCAGCAAAGCTATCATTCAGAATAGAAGGTCAGATAAAGAGCTTCACGGATAAGAAAAAGCTAAAGGAGTTCATCACCACCAAACCAGCATTATATGAAATGCTGAAAGGTATTCTTTAAGAAGAGGAAGAAGAAAAAGGAACTCTTACCATTTGCCACAGCATGGATGGAACTGGAGAGCGGATAAATACCACATGATCTCACTCATTTGTGGAATATAATGAACAACATAAGCTGATGAACAAGGACTGATCCAGAGACGGAGAGGCATTGATTGGACTGTCGGGACTTGGAGGGAAGGTAGGGGAGGGTGGGGGTAAGGGGGAAAGATCAACCAAAGGACTTATATGCAAGCATATAGGCCTAATCAATGGACATGGACAACGGGGGGGTGAGGGCATGAGCGGGGGGGGGTGGGGTAGAGGGTAACGTGGGGACAAGGACACATATGTAATATCTTAATCAATAAAAAATGTATTTAAAAAAAAAAAAAACAACTACCATTGTGCTACTTTGATTTATTAAACTCTTTGAAGACCTTTTAGCTAGAATGAATACAGTAGAGAAATAACCAAGAATACCCTAAATCTGATTCTTTGTTTGAGGTAGTCTACCCAAAGGATATTTTCCTTTGTGATTCTGTACCTTTTGCACATTGGCATAGAGCAGCAGTAGAGAAAGGTGCCTCTCGGGAGAGGTGAACAGCAGCATAGGGAACCAGTCTGCTTTAAGTCAGATTGGAAAATACCTGTCCCCTTTCTAAGGAGTGTCTTGACTTGAAAAGTTATTCTGACCTAATGTTTTGCCTTTATTCTTCTAAGTTTGTTTTTTCTTTCTTTTTAACCATGCCATCCCTTCTCACTTACAAAAGTGCCTATTTTCTGGAAAAAAGACATATATATATATATATATATATATATATATATATATATATATATATATATATATATATATAAAGACATATATATATATATATATATATAAAGACATATATATATATATGCCTAATATGCAAATCGTCCCCTCGGGAGTTCGACCGGGAGTTCAATTGCTCGCTATGACATGTGCTGACCACCAGGGGGCAGTGCGGAACAAAGGAAGGCCCCAGCCGGCAGCCGGGGAAGGAAGGCCAGATTGGCCCTGATTGCAGGCCTGGCCTAGGGACACTACCCGTGCATGAATTACATGCACCGGACCTCTAGTGTGAATAATATTACCCTTTAATATGGATGCATATTTACAAGTGTTTAATAAGCACAAAATGAAATTTAGAGGCAACCTTACTATTTGCATATTACTATTGCTATTGCTTTTTACTTAAAAAAAAAACTTTTTTATTGATTTCAGAGAGGAGGGGAGAGAGAATCATTGAATAGCTGCCTCATGAATGCCCCACACTGGGGTCAAGCCCACAACCCAGGCATATGCCCTGACCAGGAATCAAACCGTGACCTTCTGGTTTATAGGTCAGTGCTCAACTACTGAGCTATCCGGTTAGGAGCTTTTTACTTTTTAATAAAGAACATAAAATTTGATCTTTATGGCATAGGAGAAAATGAATATATCCTAACAACTATGAACATAAATATATTTTAGTTAACATAAATTCAAAGCAGTTTTTATTCGTTTAGCCACTATGGTCAGAGTATGTGGCTTAGGAATCATTATTAATCATATTACCTTTAAGATAAGTTGTTTTAAACTAATATTTCAATGACTACCATTCTTCTCTAGATAGAAGAAATGCTTAAAATCTCTCATTGACTTATAATTTTGTTTCATCACAGTTTGGAGTTTGGATCAGAAAATGTCTGGAGAAGTTTAAAGAAAAGAAATTGGAAAGATATAAAAGTAGAATGTTTCTACTAAGAGGGGAAAGCAGTAGGAGGGGAGTGGAAAAAAGAAAATGAAATAGTATAGAAATAATAAAAGGAGGGAGTAAGCAAAACAAAGACATGGGAAATAAAAAGCACATCTTACATAACAGGTTGAAAGTAAAGTTATTAAAAATAGTAGACCAGCAAATTCTAACCAAACAATAACTCATATAATAATATTTATAACTAAATATAGTAAAAGGCAAAATACATTGTTAGGGCTAAAGAGATTCATTCAATATTAGTATCAGTCACAACCAGGAATACATAAATCTGTAAACACAACAACATAG